CAGCAGAAAGGAGAAGCTGGCACTGGACGTTTGGTGTGTGTCCCTGGCTTTGCCTTGCTGTAACACCAACCTGGCCATCCTGAGGAGGAGCCACCTGGGCAAGGCTCCCCTTTGAATTTACTGTCGAGAAGATGAACAAATGATGCCCTGGATGCACAGGTCGTTTGCATGGCTCCTCTGCTGGATTTTAATGCTGGCACACAAAGACAATATACAGCCTGAAAGCACTCACACACAACCTATCAGACGCCCACCAGCCTGATTTCCCTTCCCCTCCTCCTGAGAGGGCCATCCATGTAAAATGCCTTGCACCCCTCTCCTCTACTCTGCATTTAGTGGCTTTTGAGCTTCGAAGAGAGGGGAGAAAACCCTATTGCTTCACCAGGCAGCTAAGTACTGTGCAGCCACATTACTGAAGAACACCCACAAATGACACTGCCAAAATAAACTCCTGTTTGAACTCTTCCTAGAATATTTTTGACAGAGCTCAGAACATGCTGCCCTTCTTCCCACACAGCACTGAAGCACCTACTTCACTTTAACCAGGTACACACTCTTCTTGGAGTCAAAAGGACTAATCATATGCTTAAAATTCTGCATTTACCTGAAGTACCAAGCTGAATCTGAGCTGTTTTATCTAGAAGTTGGATGGTATAAATTGGAAACATTATTCCTGGGTGAATGCTATACACATATTGACAGATATATTCCAAAATTATCTAAGAAATGAAACTATTTATTGTCAATAGAACATGTCCAACTCCAGCACACTGCTTTGAAAATCTGAAAATAAAAATGTCCACAATATACTACCTATGAATATGGATACCCCACGCACACTCTGTGCATGCTTCATGTGTACAAAATAGCAGAGAAGAAACACTCTAAACATAAATTGAGAATATATGAGATAAGATTTTAATTGTGGTTTTAATAACAGCAGACTGCTGGAGCTACCTACCTATTATTAGTCTTGAAAAGCAGCATGAAAATAAGATTTTAACCTTTCATCTGTAACATGGTCTTTACTAATAAAATTATCCCAGAGTCATGCAAGCATATAGCTGGTGTCAGCTACTTAATATGCAGAATGAATTAAATGCCACTTACATACAGCAAAGAAATACTCAGCTCATTTCAGGCACTTTAGTGCCAGTTCTTATGGTGCTGCAGCTACACAATAAACACAGTTGAGCCCTGAGTCTCCTCTTCAAATCCTGCCCTTCTGCAAGAAAATCGTTGATCTATTGCTCCACTAAGCTACCCCTTTGCAAGGTCACCAACACTCTGCCCATCGTGCTGGGAGCACTGAGAGAAGCTCTGCCACGTGTGCTTTGCCATTACAAACCACAGAGCATTTATTATGCTACAGGGAGATCAGGTCCCACTGACCACACTTGAAGTCCCGTGGAAAGACAGTAACAGATTGAGGAAGAGTGGAGGACCTGGCACACTCATCTACCATTAATCAAAAAATGTTGATAATCCTACTCCATCTTTCCAAAGCAAAAGTCACCTTTATGAGACAAACACCTTAAACCCCATTTCAGTCCAGCTTCAATCTCCTGCTGCCAGAAACAGACTCACTGGTACTTCATCTCACTTGCTGTTGGTGAACAGCCCGTGGAAGTCAACAGGAAGACTCTCGATCATGGATTTATTTCCAACAAGTATTAAAATTCCCAATATACTACATCAAACAGGAAATGCCAGGAGGAATCTTTTCCCAAAAGACCACACTTTCTTCTCCTTCACACTTTCTTCTCTTCACACTTTCTTTTGTATTAGTGACATACAAGCAATAATCAATATAAATAGCATACAAAAACAGACAAGGAAAAAAAAAAAAAAAAACAACAGAAGGTGCTGGACATCAAAAAAATTATCTGCCCAAAGTATCTTTCACTACCTGCAGAATAAGGCTCCTGCTTCTCACTGTGAATGAATTCTTTTCGTTCATACTTGGCTCTGATCCACTGTTCCCGCAGCAGTCTGAAATACAAAAAAAATACAGAGGAAAGGAAACATGGTCCAAGATACAATAAGGAAGAAACCAGAATGATTAATTCTTCAATCAAAATACAAGTGTGATTTAAAAGTCTTCCAAAAATTACATTGCACAGTCTGGAGTCCAGGATTTCTTTTGTTTACTGCTGGACAACAACAAATCATCCCTTGTACCTCCAATTTTATTGGAAACTTATTTAATAAAATGTACAGATTTAGTGGAATAGCCCTTTCTCTGCCACCCAAGCAGCCTCTGTACAGAATTCCCTCAGTATATGAACGATCCTAAACCTAATTTCCTCAGCCCACATTCTTCAGTAAATGGGATCAGTGAATGAAAAAAACCCAACAAACTACATACCAAATGATACCAATGATTTATACACCAAGACCTTAACTTCCAAAAAGGAAAAAAATTATCCCAAAGATTATAAATACCTTTTTGCTACATTATTTTAGCATGAGTGCTGGAACTAATGAAGTGGTTTAGATCTAGAATACGCTAGAAATTGCTTCAAACCATTTCTAACTGCACTTAGTTCTTAATTGCCCTAGAAGCTTAAATAGCTCAAGCAGGCAGTAATCACAGACAGAAATAAAGGCATGTGTCATCCCAGCTTCACAGCAGACGTTCTGAAGTGGCCTACACTGCTGACAGTAAAAGATCCCCCAGCACTGGGCATGCTCTGTAAAACCCATCACACTTCAACACATCAACTTGTCCACCAAAGAAAACTGCTAATATGCTTCATTATTTTTTTCTGACTATGCCACTATTGCTATTTTTCCAATAGACACATTCCAGAAATGCTCAAGGAAGGCAAGTGTACTAACACTGCTTATGAAAATTCATCTGCAGGTACAGCAAACAGATTCATCAGATCTGCAAGACACTATTCAACAAGGACTGTGGCCGTAATTGGGTTCCTGGCATGAAAGGAAAAAATATTTACATCTATTTTATCCCACCCTTTGTTTCATCTCCTTGGTTGGGGCACCTGCCTTCTCCCACAAGGCTCAGGGAGCACCATCACTTCCCCTACACCCAGAACTCAACTGTGAGCTTCTGCTGTAGCAGAAATAATGCACCAGCTCTGCCTTTCCCCCTTCTGTTCCTGTTTTCATGACTGATCTTTAGCTGTTACACACACATCTGCAGATTTGACTGAACTCTGAACACCCAACTCCCTGCTGCTGTCACCCTGTGCCACGCTCTGGTCTGGGGACAACCCATCTTCGGTTCATCTCAGGAGGTTCAGATGCTTTTTGTAGAAGTGTGCAAAGGGGCTCTTCTGGGTTCAGAAGGATGCTCTGTCTGGATCTGATCTCCCCAACATGGTAGCCTGCAAATGACCCAAATGACTACTGATGACCCAAAAGGTAGCACTTAATTGCCTGTTTCTGTACTTTTGCTCCTCATCAACAAACCTACCAAAATATAGTCACTTGATTTAATACTTAATTTAATGCTTAAATTTGTTACCCTTCTTGCAATTTTTCCAGCCTGACTGCTGCAGACAGCTTGTTATCACTGTATCACACAAATTTGGACCTTTTGACCAAGCTGATTAGGGATTTAACTAGAAGGAAGCGAATTCACACCAC